AGGAGGAGACGGCAGCGCCCAGGACATCCATCAGCCCTCAAAGAAGACTAAATCGGAAGTATGGGCATATTTTGGATTTCTGAAAAATGCTGAGGGACAGTTAATAGAAGACTGCTATCCCGTTTGCAGAACGTGCAGGAAACAAGTGTCTGCAAAAGGCAGCAACACTTCGAATCTCATGGCACATCTGCGTGACCATCACCCACGTCTCTAGAGCCAGTGCAAGGTAAGTTAACATTAGCATTTTAGCTTAAATGCATGACGTGAGGACTTTTGGTTGAGGGAGAATGCAACGAGTCACTATATACTGCAGCTGCAGCGTCCTCTGCCAGCATTTAAACCGTGTCACGGACACCCTGTTGCTGGATGAAGCATCTTATTTGTTGATGATGAAGAGAAATATACAATTAGTTCCTTGTCATTGATTTGTTTACTTATTCAATGCCATTTATACTTGAACGTTTGGATTTGATTACATAGTGTAGTAGTTATTTTAGTCATTTGTTTAAAGTGGCTATTTGTTTTAAATACATATTTTTTAAGGTTGACTTGTACAGTGCTCAAGTCAAGTGTGGACTGGAGTTTTAGATTTTCATTTTGATAATGAAGAAAACAAGTATATGAGAAAACAAGTGGTGTTTCTTTGATTTGTTTACATATTGTTTATGTTTTGAATGTTTGGATTTGTATAATTTAAACCTGCACTGACTACTGTAACATGTTCCAGAAAAATAAGCTATTTGTTCCTTTACTTGTGAAAAGTTGCACTTTTGCTAAGGCTTTGTGTTATTTTAGGTTTAATAAACATTGTTAAACCTTTTCAGAACTATTTCAGTTTGTGTAGAACAGGACTATCAATGCTTTCTGAACATATGCAACACCGTTTAAAAAATACCGCGATAATACCGAAAACCGTGATAATTTTGGTCACAATAACCGTGAGGTTAAATTTTCATACCGTGACAACCCTAGTCTGGAGCTCCCTAGTTGGGATGCTGGCCCCGCGACCCGGACCCGGATAAGATAGGGCTGGGCGATATATCGATATTTTTAAAATATCGGTATAATTTTTAAACAAGATATAAGATGACTTTATATCTTTATATCGATATAACTGGTCAAACTGCTATGCTAGCTATTAGTCGCAATGCTAGCGACATGTTGCTCCGTCTCTAAGCGGTTATTACGTGTATTCTCACAAGTTTGCTCTGTCTGAGAGCCTCTGGGTGAATGTGATGCTCTAAACTTTGCATTTAGCGTCCTGGTTTTTAATTATTTGGGGGCGTTCAACGCCAACGGAGTTCTGTTTATCCATTCTGCTCGTGCGGAGAGACGAGCCAAACCCCTCCCTTCCCCTGTGTAATGAGGAAACATCTACGGATAGTCAGAGTGGCCAAATTACCTCAAACGTATTGTAACAGTTTAATAGTAAACTAGAGGGTTAACGTTTTATTTTGAAGGCAAGCTCAATGGGTGAGAAATGTTGTTCCGGTTCCGTTTTTTTCCGCTCCGGTTAGCTATGCTAGTAAATACTCTGTTACGAGAGATTCTGTTGAAAAAGTTAAGAGTTTGTAAAGCATGGGTTACGGCGACAGAAGCCCGAAAATAATCCCCATAAAAGAGCAACCAGAGACTCTGAGTCATTACAGTATAATTGCTGATATGAGCCAATACTGTTAGATTCCAGCCAGGTTTGCCCTGATTACTAATAACTCCACTGTGCGTGACCCACGTGATCTTCAGTAGATGCAATTACATCATCATAAATTTAGCTTTACATGATATATTTTATTTCTCTGTACAATAAATATACGATATGGGCCACCTCTAGATGAAATTTAAATAATTGTACATTAATTATAAATATATAAATAAAAAGTGCCTGTGGGACATTTGATACACCTCTAGCTCCCAACTGTGTGTGTGTTAACAGACAGCTGTACCAGTGTTTCTAAAGCTCAAACTGGTAGAGAATAGGCACTAAGGTTAAAGTTTGACAAGAATCAATACATTTTTATGCATTTTATCTACTGATTTATGTATGTAATTTCTCAAGACAGCTTGAAGTGAGTTAACTTGTAAATATTTTACAGGAGGAAAAATATCGATATATATCGTATATCGGAATTCAGCAAAAAGATATCGAGATATACGTTTTCGTCCATATCGCCCAGCCCTAGGATAAGCGGAGGAAGACGAAGACGACAACTAAGAATCAGTTATAATTTAATTTAAACGCAATGAAAATCTAAACAAAAAAAGGAGATTCCATTTTTAGCTCTTTTTTATAACACAGAAAAGTTTTTTTTCACCTTGCTGACAGTTTCGTTTCCCGACTGCAAAACATCCTCAGAGCTGATGCTGATGGTGGCATCACTTCCTACTCCATTTATTCGCGGGCAACAGAGGACATTGTCGCCCTCTGCTGCCCGCTCTCCCCTCTCCTATGATGCAGTCCCATGCACGATCCAATGAGTAAACTCCATCGTTTCTGTTCATGGTCCCACATCCATGTCTCCTCATCTCTATAGCTTCCTTTATCCATTTTTTGTATTTCTGTTGTTCAGTGTTTATGATCCTTGTGTTGTCCCAGTCCATTACATGGTTTTCTCTTGTGCAGTGATCTGTTACGGCTGACTTCTTTATTGTACTTTCTGCTTCTTGTTTTGCTGCTCTTGTGTGTCTTCGACTTGTTTCTTTCTCGCACTCCTTTCTATGTTCTATTGTTCGTGTGTTGAGTTGGCGTCCCGTTTCTCCTATGAATGTTTTATTGCAGAGTTTGCATAGGATTTCGTAAATGACTTCACATTCAAGTCATATTGGTACTTTGTCCTTTGGGTGTACTAATTTGCTTCTAACTGAATGGAGTAAGAAGCAGGAAACGGAGTAGGAAGTGACGCCACCATCAGCGTCAGCTCTGAGGAAGTTTTGCAGTCGGCAGACGAAACTGTCAGCAAGGTAAAAAAAAAACATTTTCTGTGTTATAAAAAAGTAGGGCTGAAACGATTCCTCGAGTACCTCGAATAATTCGAGTACAAAAAATCCTAGAGTCAAATTCTCTGCCTCGAAGCTTCATTTAATTCATGTTTAATTAATTCATGGCTTTGCAATCTCCCGTGGTCATTTTTCACCCGGACCGAAATAAGTGACGCACATACACAATGCACTGAATGCACACGCGAGTCGCGAATGTAACTTAACTTTCTTTTAAGACATGGCGGACAACGTGGACCCCGGTGGAGTGCGAAAAAGACACAAAATGTCAAAGGTGTGGGACCATTTTTCACGTCGTAAGGCGGAAAACATAGTCCAGTGTAAATACTGTAAAATGGATTTAGCCTACCACAACACCACATCCTCCAAGCTACAGCACCTGACCAGGAAACATCCACATGTAAATGTCACTTCTGCAAGCGGACTCGGAGCCTCTACAAGATAATGCATTTTAGCCTGAATTTCTATATATTCTGCGGACACTGCGACTTTATGTTTGTAGCGCTCAGTTTCAGCTCACACTGTACGTCTGGTAGCAACACGTCGGACTTAAAATATGCTAAAAATAGCAGTTTTTACAACACGTCAGACTTTTTACTGTGTTGTTATTGATGTCCGTTGTCCCTCAGGATTGCTGCAGGAGGACACAGGTATTTGAGTGGCGGAGGAAAACGAAAGAAAGTAAATAAATGTTTTGTGATCAGTATAATTTGACGTAACCACGGCAAACATGCTTTCGACAATCCTTGTTAGTGTGAGACAAAAAAAAGGTGTAGAAATTAAAACGAACGTGTGTTAATAGGGAAACAGCTGGCGAGCCATGTTTGCGCATGCACCGTGAGCGGTTCTGGTGCTGTTTGGGCCGCAGCCGCTCGCATTTGTTTACTGTAAAGTAAAGTTGAAGTGCTGAAGTTTTGAAAACTAATTTTGAATAAAACTTGAAGAATAACTGGCAATTGCTTTCTCATTTCAAGAGGTCTTTCATATTTTATAACATGCTATTTGATATAATGGTTTAAAAACGCTAAAGAGTATTTTATTAGAGTACTCGATTAATCGATAAAAGATTCGATAGAGTACTCGATTATAAAAATATTCGATAGCTGCAGCCCTATAAAAAAGAACTAAAAATTTAATTAGAAACTGGACACAGTAAGAAAATACCAAAGATGTTTAAAAAATAAAAAAAGGAGACAATTCAAGGCAGCAAGATTTTCAATGATGATTTAATTCCACAATAAAATGTTTGGTAGAAAAGTTATTTTTGTTTTGAGGATTGTTGATGATGATTAAATAAACATTTTCCTATAAGTTTTTTAATGCAATTTAAAGTTGTTATCATATACAGTGCCATTTTGTTGTTTATATCGTTAATTTTATCAAAGTTAGGCCCTGCTATAATTGTAATGTTAAAAAGGCAGGCTTCAACTAAAATAGGGTAAAAGAAGCAACAGAATATAATATTTTCATCCTTTGTATTTTATTTGACCTAATCTCTTGTCAGGAGCGATAAAACGACCCTAAAGAAAGCCAAGTAGCCCGCTGCTGCCCAGCATGAAGGTAGCCACAGCAACTAGGGAGTTACTTACACAGTTAGTATCACTCTCTTTCTCTCCGTTAGGCTCTTTGTTTCCATCCACCGCGTCAGAGGTGGTTGTTTGTGCTGAAAGATCAAAGTTAAAACAAAACGACATGACTGACACAACTAAACAAAATCGAGCTAGTTCGAGGTAGTAAGTTTCCACATGTCACCTAGCTAACCATTGCATTCGTGGGAAAACTCCAAGTCCCACAATTCTAACAAACAAAAATCGAATGTTTACAGATTTTTTACGTGATTTCACGATTCTTCACTACAATTATAGTTTTTTTACTCAATTAAATAAGTGTCTGATTGTAGTAAAATAATATTTATATGAGTATATGCGATATTTTGGTCGAAAATGCTAGTGCTTCTCAGTTGCATTTAATTTTTGACTCAGACTACCATGATGCTTAGCGCCGCAGGTCAGGCGCATGCGTATTAGCTCCAGGTCGAGATTCAGCTGCAACTCACAGGTCTGTGATCCCGTTCCTCTTGAAAACACAGCAGTAACCTCGTCTTTTCTTTGTTTTGAACATGTTGCTGATAATGGTGAACGCGACGGGTTCCTCTCCTCCATAATTCAGTAAGTGTTTTTCTTTAAATTGTGTAGCATGTCAGTCAAGGAGCGGATGGACTAATGCCTGAAATATGTGACATCCAGACAAAAGGGATTTGGGACTGTTGTTACAGTCTGTTAACGGTGTGGATTGTGGGGAAATCATCTGTTTGTGACAGTTCTCGCTGGTTTTATTAGTCGTATTTATAGTTCCCTGCCTTTGGATGAGAAGAAGTATATTACTACATTTAGATAAATAATTAACTACTACAGACCACTGTCCCACTCCTCATGAGAACCTCCACCCAGACTCCACCCTGTACGGAATGCAGCCAAACCAGATGGCCCGTGTTGCTTTTTTAGTAATAATCAGAAAATGGCTTGATTGTCTCTATTTGTTTGATCGCATTTTGTTTGCGGTGTAAGAGACAAAAAGCTAAAACTGCAATAATTGGATGTGTAACAGGTGTTTTGACAAAAAAGTGAAACTTGAGTTCCTCCCAAATGTTGGACACATTTCTGTTTAATGTGCTAATAAATTAGAACCCCTCGAGCAAACATGCCAAGCATTTTTAGTCTCAAAATCAGATAAGTCCTTGAGGCAGATATTTGTTCTTCTGATGGACTGTGCAACAGTCAAGTGCAAAGTCAAATGAAAAACAATATCCTCAGGGTTTAGATTACTATCAGTTGTCTAAATTTCAATTCAGTTCTAAGATACTTTATTAATCCCAGAGAGAAATTAGTTTCAGTACACACAATTCAGAGATCAGACATACATAGGCAAAGACACATGACAAGAATTGGTGACTGTGGTCATTCGCAACCCGAGTCGCGCTACCTTAATCGAGAACAGAGGGGTTACATGAGGATTGGTTCAGGTGGAGGAAAAAAAGGCACTTAAGAGTTACCCTCCACAGGGAGGGCAGCTTTGCTATGCAAAAAACACCTCAGACAGAAATGCACCAGACTTTAGACATCACACAACATAAGTGTCCACTAGGTGGGGTGGTGGGTTTGCGACTCTCCACACATCAGTTCCCGCAGCCACGATAAGCAGCACACGCCACCTCAGTCTATATATATGTCGATGGTCTGGACACGGGAGGGAGGTCACCATAGGTGGCTGATTAAATGATCTGTCTTGCATGGGTGGATTTTTGACATCTTTCATGAGAAACCGACAGATCTGTGTCACTGACTTTTCTTTTCCTCTCCAGTTGGCGTCTCACTCCAGATGCAGAATGCGGTGCTCTGTGCTCCACCTGCTCCGCTGCGTGCGCTTGCGGCTGTGCAGCAGGCGAGGAAGGAGCCGGCTGCCCTTATGGGCTCAGAGAATACAAGCATACATAAAACTGCTGGCGCAGTCGCTTTGTTTCAACTCCCTAACAGACTCTGATGTTGTTTTTGACTCCATTTTTGAACCAGTATTTGTGACAGTAGACTACGTCACCCGCTGGTTTGGCATGGTGAGTGCGAGCGCGTCGATTTGCATCCCACGTTTTATTTTGCGGGAACAGCTGTCTAAACTGGAATAAAGAAATGTGCCATTTTTAGATGATCAGATAAAATAAAATGCAAAATTTTGACCTATTTTGGTTTAGTGTTGTGTTATCAGGATCTTAAAGAATTATGAACCACTGGCAAATGCAGAAAAATCCCTTTTTGACTTTGATCTCTTCTCTTTTTAAGGTGTTTGTTTGCTTAGTTGTGATATTGACCAGCTCCGTTGTGATGATCACCTACATAGTGCTCCTGCCTCTCGCCCTGACCACTTACTCTCCTGCATGGATTGCTTGGCATTCACTTTATGGAAACTGGAACCTCATCATGATAGCTTTTCATTATTACAAAGCTATTAAGACATCTCCGGGATATCCTCCGGCTGTAAGAGAACAAATCTGCAAAACCACAAAACGTTTCTTGGGCTATATTCTTTAATAATGCAATCTTTGTTTTTATTTGAATTCAGGAAAAAAATGACAGGCCATTTGTGTCAGTCTGCAAAAAGTGTATCATGCCCAAACCAGCTAGAACCCACCACTGTGGTATCTGTAACAGGTGGGTCCGTTTTTCAGATTTGCTGACGTAGACCATTACATCCTTATTTACCTTTTCTGGTTTGGAGATGTGAGCTCTCACTGCGCCTCTCATTCTGATTTAAAAACACCTTTTTTTGTGTTTGCAGGTGCATTCTAAAAATGGACCATCACTGTCGTATCCTTTGTGCCCCAAATATTCCAGCTGTCAGAATAAACAGCAACTTCACATTTTTCCTTAATGTCAACATTTCAGCCTGGTTGAATAACTGCGTTGGTCATTTTAATCATCGTTACTTCTTCTCCTTTTGTCTCTTCATGACCCTGGGCTGCGTCTACTGCAGCATCAGCTGCAGAAACATGTTTCTCGATGCCTATAACAGTCTTGAAGTGAGCCACTTTGCTTTTTTTTTGCAATTGTGATGCTGTCTCTTCCTTTTATTTCACAATCTTTGGGTTACTTTATTGTCTCTTTGACATACACGGCTTTGTTTTCTTCTTCTAAATCTGGGTTTGTGGGCTGTTCCTTCAGCGCTTTAAGCATTTGGATTCGGAAAAGCCAGGGATACCTGTAACAGGGATGGGACTTCTTCTAGGGCTTCTACCATCTGGGCAGGTATTATCTGAACAAAAACCACGTGTGTGAGTGTGTGTGGGGCTAATGTAGTTTAATATGTGCATTTTGTTTTGTCAAGACAAACTTTCAGACACCTGCACCTCCATACACCTTTAAGGAAAAGATGTTTCACAAGAGTATCGTCTACATGTGGGTGCTCACCAGGTAAAAAAAAGTGTTTTGTGTCATGTGACACCTAGAAACCACACCCACACATTATTATTCTGTAGATTATACTGTGTGGAAGCAGTTTGTTCACATTGGAAACATTTTTATTAATCAAGTGGGGCAAAAAAGTATTTAGTCAGCCACCAATTGAGCAAGTTCTCTCACTTAAAAAGGTGAGAGAGGCCTGTGATTTCCATTATAGGTATATTTCAACTATGAGACAAAATGAGAAAAAAAATCACATTGTCTGATTTTTAACAAACTATTTACAAATGATGGTAGAAAATATGTATTTGGTCTCCTACAAATAAGCTACATATCTGGCTTTCACTGATAATCTTCCTCGATCAGGGGCTCCGTGCAAGATCTCACCCTGTGTGGTCAGAATGATCACAAGAAGAGTGAGCAAAAATCCCAGAACTACATGGGGAGGGGGGTACCTGGTGAATGATCTGCAGAGAGCTGGGACCACATGACGCTTACACATTAGCGGTGGCACGGCCCCAAAAGGTATCAAACGGCACCGGGATTTGCGTTTTTGGTGCTGAGGTGACTTTTTCTCAGACCTTCTCCCCAGCGGTCAGACTGGGACTGAGGCGATACTACAGACTGATTGGCCGGCTGAAATTACACCTACCGCCTCTGATCTGTGAGAAGAATGAGCCAGCAGGGGTTTCCCGCATGCACGATTCATTTTCATGCTGGATGCTGTTCAGTAAACTTCTGTCTGTAGCACGAAGCTGCCGTTAAGTGTGGGAGCATGTGTGTGCGTTCTCCGCATGGGATCTTTTGCCCTGGCGTGCAGACAGATGCTCAGGGGAGAAAACATATTGTGTGTGTCACAAGATTATGAGGAAACACCATCGACATATAAATATTGGACAAAGGGTTTCCATAGGCTCCAATAACACGTTTTTGAGGCTAAATGGGAGGTGGACACCACCGCCATTTTGACCGTGTCACAGGTTCCGTCAAGCCCAGACAATTCCACAAAAGGGAAGAGAGGTGGAGCTGAGGGTGTGGCTGTAAGGCTGGGATCAACTGACGACACCCGGTCGAACTAGCTACAAGCTAACCCACAGCTAACGGGGAGGTGGGAGCTAAGCTAACGGAGGTAGCAACCTAGCTACAACCGGAGTTAACTGTGCACAACACCAGAGCTTCTGAGTCAGAGATACGCCGGGCTGACCGCTGGGTAAAACTGGGTGGAACACAGAGGTCTCCCGAGAGCTGCTGAAAGCTGGCAGCCCGCGCAGCAGACAGAAGCTGCGATCAGACAGAGATGCGCCGAGCTGCGGGGAGGGGAGAAACAGGTGGACAACATCGGTCTCCCGAGATCTCCACAAGCCGATAGTCAGAACCCAGCTCCACCAACATGTTATATTTCAACCCATTTTCTAAAGTGCAGCATTATGTTAAATGCACTGGGTTTTACCCTGTTACATTTAAATTTCATGGTTAAACAGTACATGTTAACATCTAAGCTCAGCTCGGCAGTGACCTAAAATACATAAATATAATTTTATTTACCGAAAATAATAAAGTGGAGACTCCTTGGACGCTCTATTAGTGCAATTAATGCCACAGCAAGTCATTTTGTCCAACAATTGCACAAAAAATATCCAAAACAGAATACACAAACACAGAGACTCAAAATCCCAGAACAGTTTCCAAGCCAGACCGAGACTCTACTGAGGTCTTTCCACGGAGCTAGCTCTGTGGTCACGTGGGTCTGATGCTCATTAATTATACACAATTTTAGGCTTTTAATACACTTAAACAGAAGAGTGAGAAAAAAATTCACCCCCCTCAGAGTTGTCATGAGTGTAAACTAGATCATTTAAACCAAAAACATGTTTTGGAACCAGGCTGTAAACATGTTTATTTCTGCTGTGAAATTGGTATTTTTAACACGGGAGTCAATGAGAATTTGCTCGCTTCTGATACCAGCCCCCAGCGGATGAAGGTGGAACTGCAATTTATTTCACTTTGTTGGTCTCTCTTCCGTTAGACCAAGCACGGGTACGGAGTAGATGGAGTTAAACACCTTTTAAGTTGACAGAACGAGGAGACAAATGATCAGAAGTCCATTCACTGTTTCACCGCTCATGAGGGGGAGAGTCTCTGCAGCAAGTCCCGCGACCTGCTCTTGCCAGATGCTTCGGACAGACTCTCGCCGTTCTGCTGAAAACGGCTGATTTTTATTGAAGATTACAGGAATGTTACATACGTAGTTTGCCATACACACACGTAATTCTGCCATCTGCACCTGCAGACGCACGTCAGCTAATAGCCTTGTTAATGAAAGACCAATTCATCCCAAGGACATGCAACCTTGAGATGATCAGGACACATCCTGCAACATCCTTTGCTAACAAAGACAGTTGTTCTTGTATTGAGGAACTGAAGGAAGGAACGCTTTCACTCCCTTATGCAGCTGTTCAGCTTGAGCAGAAAAGGCACAGAGAGGTTTTCGATATTATAACAAGATTCCATGAAAAGGCATATAATAATGTATTTATGATAATATATAAGGAGCAAAAGTGAGAGATACATATTTAATCATATAAAAGAGCTTATAATAATATATGAAAGAGCTTATATGAGAGATATATATTTTCAATCCCCCTTTTGAACTCTTTTAAGAGTTCAATAAAGATATAAGAAATCAAAACAATAACACCAAATTCCATCAAAAAGAATCCAATAAGCAAAGTTTTAAAATACCAATACAAACAACCAATCAGATTACATTTACTCATCTTTCTAGCAGTAAACTAATACAAAAAACATGATCATACTTTCAACTGAACATGTTACAACATGTATGGATCGCATGCAACTCCATATGAGGGCGAAAAACCCTAATTATCATATGTTTATAGGGAAAATTCCCCCATGTCCCCCCATTTGTCATATCTCAATTTTGGGGCGAACACCTGTTGGCATAGAGTGTGCATGCCTAGGACATCAATGATCAACAAAAAATAAAACAAAACAAACAAAAAAATCATAAAAATGAACTGGTGAAGGGGTTGTTACATTAATCACTGAACATTCTCACACTCTAACAACATCTTCTTCATCATGAGAGTCATCACTATCATCAGAGGGTTCCCCTCCCAAATAGATGTTAGGATTGGCTAGTAACAAGGGCATCTGGATAATTGGGTCAGCAGGTGGAGGGTGTAAAATATTACCCTTGTTAAAATAAATGAGGGTGTTAAATACAACCCTTGTAGAATGTTCATAGGGTGGCTACTTCTTCCCCCTGTTGAGGACCCTTCACTGGCTCCAGGCAGCTGCAGGGGGTGATGATGTCATGATTCTCGTCCTGCAGGATGTGGTGGTAGCTTGGCATGCTACTGTAGTCAGCTACTTCTCTTCCTGGTTTTTTGGATCCTTTCTCTGGTTAGGCAGATGTCAGCTGCTTCTCTTCCAGGTTAGGCTCCTCCCGTCCAGCCGGACAGCGTGTGACGTCCTCTCCGTGATCCTGTATGGCTCGGTCCACCTCGGTTCCGTCCACTTCCTTTTGGTGACTTTTAGCAGGACCCAGACGCCTGGCACCGAAGGCGAAGCCTCTTCGTGTGTGTAGTTTTGGTCCAATGAAGGCTTTCTCGACTTGTGCAGTCCTTGATCTCGGCAGATAGTTGGTAGGAAGGCTCACACTCCGGCCGGACCAGAAGTTCCCTGAACCGATCGCCTAGGGATTAAAGGTTATGCACAAAAATGTCCTAGCTCTTACTGACCCTAGCCTCTGATACCTTCAACATCAGACACATACAGTTACGAACAGCAAGCGCAATTAAAGGTACAGTGACATCACGACATGGACACACACAGACACACAAACACATACACATGCACATACACAGAGAGAGAGGGAGAGAGTAAGAATGTGTGTGGGAGGAAGAAATGAGTGGGATCCACTTTGCCACCAGCATCTCCACCTGTGTCACAGGGAAAAAATTACAAAGAAATTAAAACACAAAGCAAACAACAATAATTCAATGAGTATAAATGATCAAACTAAAATATACAACCATGCATGGGTTTTATAACAGTTCCGGCAACACTGGAGAGGAAGCCTTGTATAATGAATTCTTAAGATGTCCTTCATCAATTAAAGGTTATAGCCAAATTGTTTCAGGATCCTGAATTTGAATTTGAATTGGTTACTTTACTCAGAATAGTCCAATGTCTTTGTTGATGTTTCTCAAGGCTCGGCCATGCCCATATAGATAAATAAACAAACAAACAAGACAAACACAGTCAAACACACGGTCCATACACGTCTCTGTGCCCTCACACACCAAGCAAATGTCAGACTGAAGCGAAAGTGTGAAAACACTTAACCTAACGCTAAATCAGTGGAAAGAAAAAAATAAGACCTAAAGCGTGTAATCAAATTAATCCAACAAAACTTCCCATAACTGCCGTTCTAAACTCATGTTGCGGTGTGATCTCTCCAATTAGAAATTAGGACAATCACTTTACTATCAATTCAACCAAAAAGTTTCAGGTTGTCCCTTACCTAAACTACCTGTCTTTCTTACCTTCTTTCTTTCTTTCTTTCTTTCTTTTTTAGGAACACTACTCGCACAAGAAATCCTAAGAATTAATTCACTACTTAAGGTTAATTCATAAATAACGAAACTGCAGTTACAGGTTTGTTTGTGCATAGTATTGGTAATCAGCAGTTTTTTTCCTTATCTCCTCATCTAGAAGTGTTTCTGTGCTACTCCTCCATCTATAACACAAGTTAGTATCATCCTTAAAGCATCTGAAATTAAGCTGCATTGCTAAATCAATAACGTGATTTGTGCTAAGAAATACTCCCCTATCCTCTTCCTTTTTCCAGTGGCACTGAATGACAGATTTTAGATCAATTTAACGTTTTATGACTATTACGTTTCATTTAATTAATTTTGCTTTTTCTCTCTTATTTTTATCTATTTATTTATTTATGTTATTTATTTATTTATCATGCCATCCTG